TTTTTTTTTTTCACTATCTACAATTCCAATGAATGATTTGGTAAAATAAATAAGGTACATAGTTTGGGGCCTGAAAGGGAAAAGCAGCACAGACTCTATGAGGTTGCCTGAAGCTGTATTTCTTAAGACAGAAGCTGAAGAATATTTTGTAATAGGGATATTATAGGCACATTCTTCAACAAGAATAAGAGCTTGCTATGCCTATAATAAAATGCCAATAAAATCTGGCAGTAAACTGCAGTTTGTATATAACATTGGTTTATCTCACAATTTTTCAAGCTGATACCAGCCTTGGTATCAGCCTATGGTTAAATATTGCATCTGTCTGGGTTTATATAGTGTATCTGATTGGGGAAACATGAACTGTCCAAACTGGGGTATACATCTAGGCAGGATGTTTTATGCTATTGCAGTAGTCCCTTCTGGTTCTTTAACTATCAAAAGCACAAAACATGGTCTTTCAATACAGGCAACCTTAACACAGCATCACATCTGGTGGCTGTATCAAGTTTTAGACATAAACTTTCAGGGTAGTCTTCCTAAAATGAGTCAGTCCTTTCATCTAAAAGCAGTACTGAGTACGTAACCCCAATGACAACCACTTTTCTGCACAGCAGAGTTAAAATTCTAACCTTGCCTTGCTCCTATGTTACTGCAGAGAGCTCTTTTTCCATATCCCTTGGCAGAGACATTTTAACACCATGCTCTTTTATGTACCCCAAATCAGTGCTTTCACAGAATACAAACTGCGAGTGAGCCAGAGCTGAGGTTCCCTTTTCCATCACTGACTCTGAGAGAACATGCACTTCCATTAGAGCGTATCACAGTCTGATGAATATCAGATAAATTGGTAGTGTAAGGGCACTTGCCCATCTCTCTGGTGCCATTGTGAAAATCCCCCGGTTTTACTGTGTAACCCTTTACATGGTATTTGACTGTTGAATGTGGAACTGAGAATATAAAAAGAAAGATTACTAGTTATGCATTCTTCTGGGAAACACCACTGTACGCTGTAGACTCTTTTTGAATGTGCTAATAAATGAAAGTAAAATGCTGCCAGAGTAACAGACTAAGAAAAGAACATTGGGTTTCAGTGAAGGGCCAGAGGCTGTCTGGACCAAACTTGAGCTCAGGAGAGCAGGATGAAGAGGACCAGCCTGTTAAACCCACCATGGATGTGATGGCTCCTGGGCATGAGGAACCCATCGAGGAGCCGGCTGTGACCGTAACAGCTGGCTCTAGTGAGGCAGGCAGAATCCTTACAGAACAGCCTTGATTTGTAAATTATTTCCTACCAGTTAGCCATGCTCGTAATAACAGATTTAACTTTTTTTTTTTAATCATCCAGATTAATTTAAATGGAACTTATTTATTCTGAAATACTTGAAAGTAGAGGTCATACTTAATATAGTGAAAAATATACTTTTTTTTTTTTTCTATTAGGTTTATCAAGAACAGGACAATAGCACTAAGCTTCACAAAATAATACATTGCTTTTTGGCAACACATAAATTAACAGATTCAGAATTCAAAGCTTAGATACATCTGTGAGCTGTCAGAGTGAGTGAAATGCACTGAAATCCCCCTTGGTTTTTGCTCGCAATTGTAACCAAACCCATAAATCTAACTTTAAAGGAATGAGACTTGAGCCAGAAACCCATGCCTTGTGTACACTTAAAAGGATTGGCTGGTATAGCTACACCTTAGAGCTGTATTGGCAAGCACAGATTTTTTTCCTGGTGTAACTTAAATCACTTTCCACATGGAATATGCTACACTGGCTAAAGGACTCGGCCAGTATAATGGCATCTACACTGGAGCTTTTGCCAATATGGCTGTAGCTGCACGGGAGTGATTTTTCATCATTCTGACAGCTATTTTGGCAAAACTTCTATATTGAAACTGAATCCAAGTTAAAGTTGGCATTGTTTTATGTTGCAAATAAAGCAGAAGAGAAGCATTGCCAGTTTATGGCCCTGGCTTTACATTATTTTAATTTGTTTGTTCTAAAGGAATGTGTGGGGCAGGATCCATGTAGTCCTTTGGATGTTTGCCTCTCACATTTGTGCTGCATTAAAATCTCTTGGTTTGTCAGTGAGTGAGCTTTGGCAATGGGAAAACATATATTACTGAAAAAACTATAGTGTCCATATTATTTACCCCAGAAATAGCCATCCTGATGCTTTAAGGCAAATTTCCAAAGTGAAATGAACTGCAAAAGCATCTGGGCCAAAGGACATGTGGATTAATGCATCATTCTTCTTAACTTTGTCCTCAGTTCAACAGAATTTAAGCACAGGATTAATTTTAGGCATACACGTAACTCCTGTCAGATACTATAATGCTCCTTTTGGAACATCAATTAAGCAGATACTTGAAATTAATAATATGTGTGGAACTGGGATTTCTGTCAGAAGTGCAACTTTACATGGAGTGAGGCTATATATTGTGGTACCATCTACATTTTCTTTTCTGAACTGGATGTTAAGTCTGTATTTTAAAGAGGTTCCAAGGGGCATGTTTTCCTACATAAGTACATTTACATATTTGGCCCCTTTTTCCTAATCTCTGTTTTGCAAAGCGTAGTTTTTGGTTTCAGAAATCCACGCAGAGAAGTTTTGATTGATTCTATAGTTGCATGTACTGTTGAACACTTTCCTCTGCCAGACTGCATGTTTACACATGTACTCCTGACAGCCAGGATTGCAAACCTGCCCTCGCTGCTGGGGCTGGGGACCGTGGCCCTGCCCAGCCCGCAGACAGCACAAGGGCTGTTCCCGGCAGATGGGCGATTTCATGCGTAATCACTTGGCGCTGAACCGGCGAGCCAATTGGATGAGGAAGTCTGATTTAACCAAGGCTGCTTCCTTCCTTTTTGTACAACACAGAATGTGCCAGTTAGAAGAAGACAGAGACATATTTTTCTGCATTTTGAAAATGCGCAGCAGGCTTTTCAGGGCATCATACAGACTACGCATGCGGCACAACTGAACGCTCCTCAGCGGCTTCCAGGTGAGTATTCTGTGCACTTGGGTTCCTGGTGTTACTCACTTACAACTCAGTGAAGCCATTGGTGTGGCATTTACCCTGAAGCGGAATAGGATGACTGCCTGCTTGAAGTAAAATTGTTTAATTTGTTGCAGGTTTTTGTATTGATTTGAATTCTTTTTTTAATATGTAAGAATAGCAGCTTACCTAAAAGAGCTTACCATGATTTTAGCTGTGAAAGTGAAACTGTATATATGAGTACAGATAGTTTTCAAGGCAGATATATTCAAGGCAGAAGATTTGTGTATCATAACCTTCACTTCCGCGTTCTTACTAACAAGTATGTTGCATTTCTCTGGTAAATCATGTCTTACATATAATTTTAGTGTAAACTTTAATATAAATACAATTTTGCATATAAGTTTATACCGACTCACAAGGAAGACAAAAGTTGTCATTTGAATTTGGCCATTTTCAGATTCCTCATTTAATCTGCTATGTTTGACATTATCTTGACATAAAAACCAAATATTTGCAAGTTCATGCCTGTGGAATAAACTGTCATGATTTTCCAAAGACTGAGCAGTTCAATAATAAATAGGTGGCTACTCATCAAGTCCAAAAAGCAGATCTTCAGGGGGACTAGAACAACAGTGAGAACTTTTGCCTCCTAGTCCAAAGTAAAAAAATAAAGGCTTCCATGATGCTCTTATTAAGGAGGATGAAAACATGTATGTACTTGTTTATCCAAGCCAGGCAAAGGAATTGTGTCTGTTAGAGCAAAGTGGTTTGCACTTCCATTATTTCCAGTGGGGAAAGTAATTGCTTTTCTTTTTATAGCCTTTCAGTTTGCAAGAAATCAATAGGTCTGCTGAAGGCGTTTCCTCACCTCTGCATCCAGCATTGCATAACTGTGTGGTAAACAAGTGGAGGCAAAATGATATGTAGTAACATCCCTGTCCTAAAGCCTTTCATTACTTCATAACCACTCTTTGGGCATTATTTTTGCATTTGTACCAGGGAGACTTTTTTCTTGAAGCAGGTTGCTCTGTTATTTGATTTTCACCCATTGGCTGAATTGTGAGCAACTTCTCTCATGCTAACTAACAGAATACAGTGCCCTAGCAAAGTTGTTAGGATGCTCTTAGAACTTTTTTAACTGCTAGTATAACAAACACGCTGATGTAACCATCCTGAGTAGACACTCATGCAGGAGAATGGCCAATCTGGTCTATGGATTAGGGGTATATTGTGTTAAGCATTTTATCAGTATGTGACAGCATAGCAGTCCTAGCAGAACAGACATACAGATCTACTACAAGCACAGTATATAGGCTAAAAGGACAAATAAGTGGAGAATGCTTCTGTACTCTAATTAGAAAAATCAGTTCTCCTTCCACCTAGCCATTGTCAGATTCAGTTGTTTTGTTCTCACAGTACAGAGATAAGTCTCTGGAGAGACTATGAAACTGTGAATTATGACAAAAGTCTTGTAATATTTTATATATCACCTTATTTTGCCCTACAGGTTGTGATTAAGAACAGTTGGCAAGTTTTGGAGTCTTGAGGACAGTAAATTCTAGCAGAGTAAAAGAGCCAGGCTGCTAGTTATACTATAATCTCAGAGATTTTAGTACATCTGAACCCATATTTGCAAGTTTGAGGACAAAATACAAGGAGAAAAAAATCTTCTCCAGCTGAAGTTTATGAGAGAATTCTCATAGATAAGAATGAAGTTCCCCACCTAATCTTATTCAACATAACTTTGTATAGCTTTCATGTTTGATCAAAAATATCCAAACACTTTTTAGTGGTAATGGTAACAGGAACAGTCCTTCACTAGTAGCTGTGTAGATATTTCTATTTATTACTTTAGTTTTTATGAAACTATGGTTGCCCTCATACAAGCTCACAGAGAACAATGAGTAAGTCAATAAAAAGGTTATTGGAGTGGATCCTTTAAAGGCATGCTAATAAGAAATGTTTTATTTTTTCTGGTCTTTCAGTGATAGCTTGCAATGGACCAAGACTCACACTGCCCAGCAGAAAGGGAACAGCTGGAAGCTGTAAGCAGGATTACTACATTTTCTACCACAAGTCCATCTGATGAAGAACAAAATCAACCCAAAGCTGAGATTTCATGTCAAGTGAGAAAAGAAAACCCAGAAAAAGATGAGCTGCAAGGTTGATACTACCCTTTAATTTTATTTTTCATATACCTATTTATGCCATTAATCTTTTCTATAAAAAATTTTGCTTTATCTATTGCAACAGTAGTCCAGATTTACACTGATACACTCCACTGAAAATAAGCCTTGATTAAACTTGTAGTAGTAGTGTAGCAATAGTGAAGCAGATGTACATCCTGGTGTGCATATACACAAAATTCTTTCTTAATCCCTTGCACCTAAAATGTATTCCAGATTAAATTTACCAACCAGGGACATAAACAGCGGTCATCAGATGGCCTATCTCAGGAGCACACTTTCTGTACATCACAAGATCTGCAGTTCTTGGCAGTATCAACAAGGACACCGAGACTGAAGCTAATCTCAAGCAGTTTGCTCTCACATGCCTTATGAAGAGCCAGCATTGAACTTCTGCTACACCTAAGACTGCTGTCATCTATTATTAAATAAAATGTTATATATAATCTAAAACATATATAATGTCAGCAAAATTCTCAGCCTGCAAAGATGTCATAAACACCACCTCTCAGGAAGTACATGCTTTGTAGAGATTGAGCCAAACCCCAAAGGCCTTGATAATTGAAACTCTATGGCCAAATGATTAAGAACATGTAAAAGTGAGGCCGTTGAAGGAGCCCTATGGTGCCTTTACAATCCTATTTCTGTATCAGGCTGTTGCAGATTCCCATTCATTTGGAGTCTCTATTGTCTGAATGTTGCACACATTGCAGACTGACTTCAGCTGACTGCATTAACAGAGACATTATTGACTTAAAATTTGGACTGGTGTGTCCACTGAAATACAAATATTCCATTTCTTTTACCCATTTTGCTAGCCTGTATGTCACCTGATGAAAACAGTTGTCAGTAGATTTCCGAGACAGAGAAATTGCCCTTTAGAAAAGCTACATCAAATTCCCCTGTAAGCAAATTCTTCAGCCAGCTGTCCTACACTTTTATACATGCACACGTATATCTGTTTGTGTGTGTGTGAGACTGTGGGGGGGGGCAGGGGGGGGGGGGGGAAAGGGAGGGAGGTGATTGAAATTTTTGTTTAATTGTGAGATTGTTTAAAAAAAAAAAAAAAAAAAAAAAGGATGTGAGAATTCCTCCTGCAGCTCAGCTGGTTAGCTGAGTTTCTCCTTTAAGGTTAGGATAGTCATATTTTCTCAGCTTTCACCTATTAGTGCACAACCCCAATATTTGAACAGTGACAGTATTTGAATATATGTCTGATGGTGAAGCATATCTTCTGCTCAGACTGTGCCCAAGGTTACAACCTAGACATACAATACTTCTTGTCAGTATTTTTTCTGTAACTTTGTATTCTGCAGCTGACTCAGTGTCTCTCAAAATTTCAGACCACAATAGCTTTCCTCAAAGAATTTGGACCCGTTTTCATTAGTAGTGAAATAACTTATTTTAGCAGTCTCGAGGTCTTGCTGTTAGAGCAACAGAAATTCTAGGCTCTTCTTTCACAATAAACACATGAGAATTTTCTTTCTAAATGCAAAGGTTATAATCTGAAATACTAAATATATCTTTTTAGATTCCAATGCAACCCTAAGTCCTAACTCTGCGATGACCACTAAGGAGCTTCAGGAATATTGGAGGAATGAAAAACGCCAGTGCAGACAAGTCAGACTCCTTTTTGAAATTCCATCAACCAGAATTGTAGAGCACCACTTATCTAGATACGTGGTAAGCTAAGAAAAGAACATGTAAGATCATTAATTTTTATTTACTCTGTAGGGGTCTGCACAGCACACAGCATGCTTCACTACATGAAAGCCTTACCAAGGGCCAAGTTTTGCAAGCCGTGCTCATACCAAGGAGAACGCATTCTTGTGATCCTATGGGCATAGCTGGTGGATTCTGCTCCTAACAAAAAAGTCTGACAATCAGTTCACAAAATCTGCAGCAGTGGAAAAGTAATCTCAAGTAAATTAGTAGTTTGAGTATCCTCAACACCCAGAGGTTTGTCAACATTAAGGAAGTTCACACAAGTGTAAAAATACCAACGTTGTTACACTTCCACGGAGCCAGACTGCTGTAGCAGCTGCATTGGGTTTGTATGACTTCCACATCCATGATTTAGCTTAGCACAAGTGCAAAATTCTTTGATGTCGACAAAGTCTAAGACATCCTCTAGCTAGATCACTTAGGTTCCCCCTCCCTACATAGATTTCCATTAGATGGCATATTTCTGTCATGTTTTTAAGGTGAAGCATGAGTATGAGGGACAGGAACAACAGAAGAGGTTAGATTTTTGAATCTTTACTCACAATACTGACACTTGGGGTTTTTTTCCGATTCTGCTCCTAGCCTCCAGAAGGAGTGATCTCAAGCAAGCCTCTTTCCGTACTCCTGTGAAATTCAGATAGGGATGTTTTCCTTGTTTGCAACAATCTCTCAAATCTGTAGATGAAAAACGCTCAGAATCATACTAGTGTTGCTGATACTGGGTGATGCAGCTTGGTAGAATTTAAAGCAGGTAAATGTTCTGGAGACTGTCCTAAGATCTTGTTGCAGGCTATGCACACCTACTTAGATGCTGCCATTCTTGCATGCACTCAATGGCATCCAGCTTGTTGAATAGTTAAAAATTATTTCAGTGGAAACATGAGAACAAGAGTATCATTCGGTGCATGCACAACTAGTTAAACTTAGTCATAAGTTATACACCTAGGCAAAAAGATTTACATTATAACAAATGAGTCAGTTTGAATGATAGTCTAATTAAATGGTATTTCTTGCCTTTTTCATGCACATTCCACAAGTAAAAAACCAAGTGTTTCTAAATTATTCACTTAGCTGCCCTTGATAAAATGATAGCTTTAAAAATTGCTCTTATCACTGTTTTGGATATGTATCAGGCATATATACACTTCTCAGCAGGGAGCAGGACAAAGCATAGGAAAATGTCACAGTGCTTACAAATGAGAAGAGATGAGAGAAGTCAGCTCAAATTTAGAAACCTTTCAAACAGCATCTGTAAAGATCATTTATGAAGATTAAAAGAGAAGTTTCTCCTTATGGAAAAACAAGGAAGAGAATCAGACAGACACTAGTGCTAGAACTGGTTTGCACCCTTCAAGAGCAGCAAAGAAAACAACTGGTGCAAGTCAAACTCATCCAGGTCCTGTACAATTCAGTGGGAACAAGGTGAAGTTGAATGTGAAGTTGAATGTGAATATGGTCATAGTGCAAAAGTCAGCAAGGTCAATGGTCCATGTCCTTAGGTGGTGTATGGTGACACAGGTGAGCTGCCTTCAGTGGAACTCCACTGTTTCTATGCACATCAGGGGTTTGGCGCTTCCTCAAGATCATTTGGCTTGGATCAGGGCTAGAAGATAATCTAGTAGTACAAGATGTAACACAGGTTGATTTTGCAGCTATTTTTCTAACATCACATTTATTCTAGTCATTTTGAGACTAATGAAGAGCTGAGGAAGACATACTCTTGAGTACTGTTAATGTGAGACAGCATTGCTGTTAGTGAAGGATGCTGGACAGTAAACAGATTACTGTAGAAATGTTACTTTTTTTTCATTATTTATATGCCAATTAAGTTTCAATAACAGGACAATGATTTAGATGGGGAAGAAGGCTTTGGAGTTGCTCCATCTTATTTTTGCACACACCAACTATTACTGCCAAATAATCCTCTTTCACAGCATTAATAACACCCCCAAATCCCAAGAAATGTTTGAAACAAACAACATTTCTGAGTATTATGGCCACTATAAAATAGATTACATTCAATATTAAGTCTGGAAAATCCATTCAGTTCACTGAAGATGGTTGATTGCAACATGATTCTATGATTGCAGCAGCTGTGGCTGTTGTAAACAGAGTACAGCTACAGAAATGCTTTCTAAGTGATTTTTTGTGCTTCTGTCTGCTGCTAGTTCACCTTGCATGATGGGATGTGTTAGTGCATTGTTTGTCTTCAAATGACTTGCACATTAAGGCTAAGTCTGGTCATGAAAGTACAAAACAGCAGGAGGTGGGAATTGTTCATTTGATGGCTGCAGATTTCAAAGCTCAGGCCTACGCTGAGCGTGGACCGTAACCCCAGGCAGCAGCTAATGCAGCAGCACTGCTATAAGCCACAGGTGTATACAATATTACACCCATAAAATTGGTGCAGGAAGGCTTGGGGTGGTGGAATACGCGTGCAAAGGCTTTTCAAAGCATTAACAGACAAAATCTGACTACACCGGGACTGGAATAGTCCTTCTCATGCTTATTCTTTGGCTTTATTATATTCAGATGTATAAAATCATCGTTTTGCAAACCGGGAGTTTTGACAGCAACAAGTCTGTAATCGAACGGCGTTATTCAGATTTTGAGAAACTGCACAGAAATCTGCTGGAGGAGTTTAGTGAAGAAATGGAAGATGTGACCTTTCCCAAAAAAACTCTAACAGGGAACTTCACAGAAGAAATAATAAATGAGAGAAAATTAGCTTTCAAGGACTACCTGAGACTTCTATATTCTATGAAATACATCCGAAGATCAAAAAAGTTTATTGACTTTTTAACAAGGCCAGAACTTCAGGAAGCATATGGCTGCCTGCGGGGTGGCCAGTACTCCAAAGCTTTGGAAATCCTTTTAGAAGTCATTGGTCTGCAGGAAAGGCTGACAAGAGGCAACCCTGTCTCAATCGTTCCTACTCTCTGTGCTATCGTGGTGTGCCACAAGGACCTGGAAAACCCAGCAAGTGCCTTGGAATATGGAGAAAAAGCTCTATCACACCTTCATGTGCATACCAACCACAGGTATTATATTCCATTGTTAGAAACAATGATCACTTTGGCATATGAACTTGGCAAGGATTTTCTGTCTTTGCAAGAAAAACTGGAAGAATGGAAGGCAAAAAAAGATCCCATACGGGTTTTTACCCTGAAAGAACTTGCAGTTCGGGAGTATGTACAATGAACACAAGAAACAATTTCATTAAAGAGGAAAGCTCCTTTTCCTGAACAAGAATTCTTGATCAAGAGTAAGAACTGGATATTACCTGTTTGACTAACATAACTTTATAGTAATAGAAAAAAATTAAGTATCCTCCATGTTCAAAACGGACATCATGATTAACATTTATGTTGGAAAATATTGTAGTTGTGGATATGAGGAGCATATAAGCTTATTAAGGTTTTTGGAAAGAAGTTTGCAACAAAAAATGTTTATGATTTGCTTATTTTGAACATAGCCTGTTTCGTGTGAAAAGTCAGAATAGGAAAATACAATGTATAGAGCACTTAAGCTGCAGAATCAGAGGCATTGCTTGCTCATATGGAAACTACTTTTCTAGAAGAGAAATATCTTCTTGGTTAATGCAATCTAAATGATGCATCTTCAGACACTGAATGTAGATTTTTCACTCCTCCAGCTGAAGCCTGGTCAAACAGCACTTTGCTGCTTCTGAGAATTACAAGATCAATGTTGTTCCCACTGAAGTTAACTGCTGTGGGTAGGAGGACCTGGGGGGAAGCTTTACAATCAACTTTGGTAGGAACAAAAAATACAAAGGATGAACATTCCATTAGAGAAGAGGGACTATGCTTTGTTTCCCTTTTGTAGGCAATACAGTTTTATGACTCGCATTGAAGGTACATTCTTGTTTGGGGTGATCTTTAAGTACAGTTCTGACCATAGTAGAAAATTTATACCATGTGTGCTATGTATATCATGGAAAGGAACCACAGAAGGGTGCTGGTGGGGAGAACATCTGGCTAATATAATGCTAGCATTTAATTCTGATTATCAAGCTGTGAGACACATGGTTAACAGACAATTGGTGTTGAGCCTGTGCTCCCCTGTTGCCTTTCAGAGGTTTATGTAAGTTGGGTGTTCCCTTAGTTTTACAGCAAATATCATCGTGGTGGCACTGCAATATTATAGCTACTTCTTTCAGGGATCAAAGCTGCATATACAAATACTAAACTCGTCTCGGCCCTAACACTCCTATGAAAGCTTCCTAAGAGCTGAAAAAGTGTCTATTTACTTCCTGCTGTAATTGCCGTCAACTCCATTATCTCTCCCATACACTTATTTTAATAATCTGGTAAATTCATTCTTATAAATATTGTAATTAACAAGTCAAGCTAGCATGGGTCATTATTCTTTTCTAAACATAGTCAACTGAGTACTTTCAGGCCTGTACTTCAGGTACAGATACTACATGCACCACAATGACACTGTATATAAATTAGGTATAACTGTATTAAATGACCTCCCAGACACATAAGCAAGTCAGGTAATTGAAAGTGCATCAAACCTGAAAAATGTTGCTGTGCATTGTTACAAGAAGGATGGCTTGGAAAAATATAGAATAATAGGAATATCTAGGTTGGAATGTTAATACTGTAAGTAGCTATTAACACTAAGCATTAAACTCAAAGGATGTGGATTAGTCATTTGCCAACTATTTTTTTTTCTACTTATACAAAAGTAAGAGATTCAAGAGCAATTAGGAGACTTAAGAACTATTCTTCCCACAACATACCATAGTGCAGGACCGTTCAGATGGATCAAAGGTAACATCTCCCTCTAGGATCATGTCTGAATCAGACAAAATGGCAAAGAAGAAAGCATGTCTGGGGTCTGTGTCACACTCAGTGGCTTGAAGTTAAGGCAGAACGGAAGTGTGGCCATCACGCTGCTCTAGTTCCACAGCAGTTTGTGGTGAAAGACACAGGTGAAAAAATAGGGAAAAATAATTTCACCCCTTTGGCTCCCTCCTGCAATTGTGTGCAGTGTCTCAGGCACAGCTGCCTTGGATTCTCCTCAGGTTCCCGTGGGGATGAACATGAGCAGCTGATTGTGTGCACAGACCCTCATCTTACAGCTAATTACAAGGTTAGGGGGTCCGTAAGTACACACTGTCCAGCAAGGACAAGCACTGGGAAAGTGACACATCAGAGGGATCTTAACCTTTACTTGTAGTAATGCTCTAACTTTTCACCTCTGAAGGATTAACTGATCCAAAGCTAACCAATTTTTGTTGGCGTGGCAGTGCACATTAGGAAGATAAGGAGGAGCAATTTGGCTGAACAAAAAATTTGCATAATTCAAAAGACACTAAAATGCCAACCCCCACACTGTTTTGTTGGGGTAAGCCAAAATTCCTCTGAAAATGCTTTTCCATACAATGTACTAGCAGAGTTTTGTCAGCAAAATGGTCCTAGAATGGGTCACTGTCCTTATCCACCAGAAGGCAGAGGTAGTCTCCTGTATTATTGAGGAAAATGAACTAAAGACAGACAGGTATGGTGTGAAGAAGGAACAATGTGTCTGTTGGATAATTCCCCCACAATGAACTTCTTTAATGGAGAGCCTTTTCAGTGGGACATCTATTGCCACTGGGACATCTATTGCCACTGGCCAGACCGAACAACTTCAGAGCTTCCCAGGAAGAACGTATTATCTGCCTCACTCAAAGGGCTGGTTTCAAGTTCTGCTGCATTGAGACTTCCAGTCACATCACTTCACGTATGAATCCACAGAGCCTACAGCATGTGTCATCAAAGGGTCAGCTGTAGTGTTCAGAAAATCAGTTTGTGATGCCTGGATTTCACCTGCAGCTCTGCCACAGACTTGGCCTCAACTTCGCACAAGTAACTTAACCTCTGTGCCCGTACTTCCCCACCCGGTACATCCCTAGCAAGTTTCTCATTCAGAATTTCAGTACTCACTGAATAGAAAAGCTGTGAAACTTAACCAAATAAGTTAACTCCAACATTTAGCTTAGGTATGTACATTAGGAATGAGGCAATTTTGATTTATACAAGACTATCTAATTTCATGAAGATACTTGAAACAGAAGAGAAATTAGAGGCAATAGTTGCCAAACCTGGGTGCTTATTGTTGGTGGCATAGTTTCTTACTAATGCAGTCTTATTTTAGAAGCAGGCATTATTCTCCTTATACACTAGAGAAGTTACAAAATTATCTCTTTATTCTTTATATCAACTGGCACATCAGCTCCATAGGCAATTAGCCAGTTTTGATTTCTTAGCTGTATACTCTCAGAAAACAGGATGGACCTGCCAAAAGAATTCTGCTTTAATTTACTCACATTTCAAAAGTCAACTTCTGCATATTCTTTTTCACTTGATTTTTTCAGCAAAGTGAGTATTCATCAATTACATGTTACTAAAGTAAAAGGAAATGGCGTTCTTGCTCCTGTACCAGCCTTACTATCTTCCACTTGGAATGACAGCCTGTGAGGGTCAGGTTCCCTCTGCCCTTCCCTCTGTGCAACATCGTCTTTCACAGTTAAAAACGTGTAGCCAGGTAGGGTAGATTTCCTGCAGGGAGTCAGGGAAGGTTAGTCTCCTTCCCCATTAACATCACCCAGTGCAGGGGTACAGTAGTGGCTGCAGAGCTCCCACTCACAAATTCAATCAGTCCTGGTTTTTTTGTAAGAAAATTAATGATAAATGAAAAGTAAATGGGTTCTTTCCACCTGTCACCACATCTTGCTTTTCCTCTGAATAATGTTTTAAGAACAGCTCAAAAAGAGAATAGCTATCATTTTCATCCTCATTTACCTGGTCTTGTTTATATGTTGCCTTTCCTTAGCTCTGGTTAAGAAGCCATTGGGGAAACAGTGACTAAAATCCTTGTGCACTCTCCATGCAGTTTGCATGTTGTCCCCAGAGTACACATCCCACCTCTCCAGGTTCTGGCCCAGCTAAAGTGAATAGCACTGCATCAATGAAGCTGTTTTGGAAGAACAAAACTCTGGGACTACTTCATGTGCAAGAACAGAACATAAATCAAGTAAGCAAGTGGTTCCTGCTTCCAGACAGCCGTTTTACTTCCACCCTACATTGCTGTACACTATTTGTGTGATAAAAGCCTGATTTATAAATAAATCCATTCCATGCATTTCCTGTCTTCCAAAACAATGGCGTGCTTTTTCCCAAAAAAAAAAAAATAAAAAAAAAAATAAAAAAAATTCATTGGTTTAATAAAAAAAAAAAAGAAAATGAGCAGCTGATGGCATTTGTCCTGTTTGCATTATTAACATTCATCAGCCATTCTCGGTACCTGGAAGGCAGCTGGAGTCAACAGACACAACGTCTAGAGAGCCAAGCTCTGCTCTTGGCAACATCATAAAACCCACTGAGTGGCCTTGATCAAGTCTAATCAAATCTCAGATTTCTTTTGAACATCAGTATTGTTTTGCCCTCTTCTATAAAGCTATGTTTTTCTTATATTTTACCAGTACATTCCAACGTATCATTTTCCCTATTTTACAGCTGGGGGAATTTTGGTACAAAAAAAGTGATTTTTCCAAAGGTCTAATACAGCGGTCTAGAGACCACTGTGAGTGTCTGGAGAAATAGTTAAGCCCAAGTGGCATCACAGCTTTGCAAAACAGAGATGTGTCACAGTTGCATGTTCATAATTTCCTCTTGCATGGACAACCACAACACAGGTTCATTTTTGCTCAATACCATACACCTGAGAAAATAGCTTGTGATGTCTATGGAAAACAGTTGAGTAAGTCTGACTAATTAATATATTTGAAGAACTAATAAGTGGTTGAATAGTGAAAATATTTTAACCACCACTATATTAAAAAAAAGCAGAAAGTCTTGTGTAGGAGATTTTTAGAATATATTAAAAAATGCCCAAGCTTCAATATAATTTTCCACAAGGAGCAGAAAAATATTTTCAAACACATTTTTGTAGTTATAATAATTTCTTAGAACTGCAGTATTTCTTCCAACTGCTCTTGTAGTCTAAACAAGAATCACAGTCAAGACATAGTACCATATATATTAGCAAGTCTCTTGATATCCACTTTTTTCAACAACAGCACACAATGCAACACAGCTTTTCAGTATGATCTTACTCCTCACGTTGTCATTGACACCACTGCAGTACAACAGGTAACAATCCAACTATAAGTTCACAGTTCATTTTTTTCTGGAAAAAAAATGGTCAAAAGAAGAAAGTATTGTCC